GCCAGGAAAGGTCAGAAGAACGTAGTGAGATAATTGTCAAACACAGAAATAACTACGAGAAAGAGGGCATTCATTTAGTCCAAATTAAATATGACAGCAGAGACCGAACTCCAAAGCGCGGTTTCTGATGACGATGATGAAGTGAACAATGCTTCACCAACGACAATAAGGCAAGATGGATCCTTTGGCACAGCAGAAAGGTAAGTAAGGTGCAGAGGACAGGGACTAATTCCTCTGCATCAAGACTAACATCTATAATGCAGGTATCATAGAAAGGAAGCGCATGTGTCAAGCTTACCTGAAAGTGTTGCAGAACATCCAATTTCCGCTCTGAAACCCTGTCCAGGTCCATAAGGATCCCAAGGATGTCTATAAGGAATGCAGGTAGTTATCTGAATCATGTGAACACATTTGTTTGGCTACTAAATGGTCAGAGTCAAAAAGTAAACAAAAATGTTTTCACAAATAGATAAGATAAACATTGGCTTTATTCAAGTTCAAAACGCATGCTATTACGTATTCAGGTAACCAATAATCAGAACTACGAGGACATAAATAGTGAAAATAGTTGATAATGGCAGGAATAAATAAGATTTGGCCTTTATTCTCAAGCGTATATGCAAGAGAAATAATGAGATGATCCCATTCGGAAGAACACTACAGGGGAAAGCACACCTGTGAAACCCATGACGTCAATTGGCCAGGGTAGAGGAAACATTTCGGTGTCGGAGAATAGACAGTACTGAGTGAAAGACACTGGACAAATGAATTGATGCAGAAGTTGAATTTTCATCACAACTGCCAGCAAATGTAAACACTACGCTAGCTTGCATGAGAGATAAGTTAAAAAACTAAAGTAGAAGGAAGAATATTTTGGGACTTCCTCGATTAGGAGGTAAAGACCGACTCCCCGTTGAAGGCCACATTCATGTGTATCTAGGCTTTCACTTGCTCCTGTGGAGCAGGAGATATTGGTCGAACAACGGGGCGCCTGGAAAAGATACGGGAACACATACCGGCCTGACCGAGTAAAGGTGAAATTACATCGATCTCGAATTCTATTCGCGCACATCTTGTCGATACGAATCCCCAAGCCGATACTAATGAAGCGTTTCAGGTTGTCTACCGGACATCAGCCAACTTCTTCAAGGGCCTACACCAACGGGTCCTAGCAACAGCCAAGACACTGGCTATACGGCTAGCGAATCCAGTGCTGTGTTGTAAGAAGACGATAACACAAGCCTTTTCATTTCCGTGGCTGACGCCAGGTGGCGATCGTATATCACCCCCACACCCTAGTAACTGTCGGTCACTCCGTGCAAGTGATATTAATTATCATTCCACGTACCTGACCCATGACCAACGATCACAAAATATCCTAATTTGCTCCCCCCCACCCTTCCCCAGTGCAAGGGCCTCCAGACACCGATCTCGCTATGCCGACGGCGTGAGAACGACAAGTTTTAATCAAAGGACCCTTATTAACCCTACCCAAATGTACTATTTTCATTATCCCTACCACGG